AGGAACAACATCAGAGCTCTCTGTCCAGAAGAGCGCAGGGCTAGGATACTGCACAGAACCCTCAAACTCCCAGGCCTCTGATAGAGGACGCAAGATTGAAGACGACACATACCATCCATAGGGGTGAGAGGGGATTTTTATATGAATATTTATGAACAGAAGACCAAAACCACTGTACATCCTTTCACATGAATAGAACCAGATATCATTTGAGACAGGTTCATGGTTGTCATGGAGGCTATGAAATGTTGAGCTACTCCTTGGCAACCTCAGCATGGACACAGAAGTTCCTCAATATAATGCCTATGTTAATCCAATGCGATACCCAAGATCACCTCAGTTAGCTCAAGGAGATAGATTGTTAGGCCACATCTTGGTCTCCTAAGTGCAAGGCAAGTATTCAATACCAGCAAATGGTCGGATGGAGCACCTGGCCACAGAGAAATAAATCTTGTAGACATTGCCATTTTTAGAGCATCCAAAATAGTTTTATTAAACCTGTACAGCCAGCTTCTTCAAATTTTGATGCCCAGTTTAGCAAATCCCTGACAACATAAAGATGGATCAATGAATCCTACAGAAATGGTCCCAGGAAGGACCCTTCCTCAGAACAGTCTCAGTTCAATTCTCAAGGCAGAAGACTCATCTTGCCATTTGGGGGGGGGGAGGGAGGGGGTGCTCTTTGCTACTAACAGGTACTTTTATTTTTTAATTTTTTTAAAAGAATGTGGGTACCAGCCCTTCAAGGTTGACCAAGTCCAGAACCAGACACCACAGGGATTCCAGGAATGTTACTTTATTGCTACTTCGTAGGGTCTGATTGCAGAATCATGAAAGCCTGTCCACATTTCTCTCTGTTCCCTTCTGTTTATACCAAACAAAATCAAGGTGGGGTTATGTTGAGTTTCTTTCTCATGCTTCCTTTCACCTCTGGACTGTATAATCTCTCATCCAAATCCCTCCTTAGAGGCTCACTCAAACCTTCCTCAAGGTCAGCCCTTTTTTTTTCAATTCAATCAGTTTATTACAGCCCGAAGGCCAGATACAATAAAATATCTAATAGTAGAACTGTTAGGTACATACATATATAACAGAAAAACAATAAGTATAAGAAAGTATAAAAAATAATTAAGAGCAGATATAATAAAATAAAACAAAATAAAAATATTATAAGAAATGCCAAAGTTAATTAATGGTACAGCGTATTGTACACATGGTAGCACAAAACTGGGCAACTTGGGAAGATATTTTTGAATCCTTGTCTGAAAGAAGTAACATTAAGTAGAAATTACACCCTACCTGGAAATTTCTTCAAGATCGGATAAATGAAAGTCTGTCTAGAGCCCTCGCAGAGGGAGCAGCACAGCTGCGTGTGGCTTAAGAGTTTCTACTGAGCCATCATCACATGGATATAACCATACATAAGAGTACCCTTAAAACGCCCAAAAAGGACTGCTGAGGGCAACGCATCCAGCCTGGCTAGCATGAAGGGCGTACAAAATTTCAGAATCGTAATGGATGATAAATAGGAGGCTGGAGTGAACCCTTTTGGAGGAATATGTTAAATATAGGAGTGTGACCTTGCTTAAATTGGTTTGGAGATCTATATCCCAAATCCCAAAGTTTGAAGGCAATTCTAGCATTATCAAAACCTAATGAGTACAAACTTTCCATAGAGAAGCCCAGTAAATGAATTTTATCTAGGGCTTTTTAAAGCCATGATGATTTAAAACAATCTCCAAGTACTAATGGGACCAAACCAATAGGGAGTAGGATTAACTTTAGCTATAAGGTAGTAAGAAGAAACCATGCTCTAGTGTCCAACAAGACTGTATCTGTCTCTACCCCAAAAGTTAGCATTTTGGATACTTTTTGGAGCCATCAGTATGGCTCGAATAAACTTATTTTGAATACTTTCAAGAATGTTAAGCCTTGCAAAAGAGCAAATTTGGAAGCCATAAAGAAGTTGAGGGACGACCTCAGCTTGGAAAGTCTTGCAAGCTGTAGGGATATAATGGGCTGCTTCTGAGTGGTGAAGTCTTACGATAGCTGTAGAGGTACACTGTGCGACATGTGCCTGGTAAAGAAAATGAGCATTCCAGGACAAAGAACCATGGAACTGCACTCTAAGATATTCATAGGTGCACGTCTACTCAATTTGGGTCCCATTTATTTGCCATTTGTGAATTTTATGATAACATCGGGCAAACATTAAACTTTGGTTTTCTGATAGTTTATTGACAGCTTTTGTTCTGTACAGGATAAAGCTACTGCCCTACATGCTTTTCTCATTCCCACCTGTGAAGTAGGCATAATAACTACATCGTCAGCATAGAGGAATGCTGGAATCAGCTAAAATAGGTGGGTGATGGGCTGAAACAGCAAGCACTTGGATTACTGGATTTAAATATACGTTAAAAAGTAGTATAGCTAATATGCAACTTTATCTTACACCTCTATAAGTTGGGACTGCTTTAGATAAACGTTCCTAAGGAGTACATCTAATTCTCAGGGAGGTGTTTGAATAAAGTGACAGATTAAGTAGGAGCAGCCTTTTATCAATAGTAGACTGTCTTGGATTGTCCCACAGACTCTCCCTTGGTATTAGGTCAAAAGCTGACTTAAAATTAACAAAAGTTGCAAAAAGGGAACCTTGAGGGGGAAAGGTCAGCTCTAATTTCCTTTACTGTAGACAATCTGGATAAAACTAGCATAAAAGGCCTAGAGAGAGTAAGGTAAACATAGTTAGGCAGAAGGAGGCAGAAGACAGCTAGAGTGATATAGTAGTTAAGGTCTTGGCCAGGCACAAGCAAGGCCCACCCTGAGTCATGAAACACGCCAGCAACTTTGGGGCAGTTCTCTCTTTGCCAGCCCATCCTACTTTAACCCGGCCAACATGCTGGGAGTTGAAGTCCACCCATCTTAAACAACACAGTTGTTCCCTCCTCCCATGTTAACCCCACAGTAACATTATGTATGCTGCCTGATCTTCTGAATGAAAGCTGGAATACCAGTCTAACAAATAAGTAAACATGTAATTCCCAGAAGGAATTAACATTCTAGTTGTACTTTGGGAGGAAATTCAAAAATAGATCTGAATAGCCCAAATTCAATTTTGCACATTAGACAGCACTAGCTCGATCTCACAAGTCATCACTCAGAAGCTGTAGTAAAGCAAATGCAACAAATCTCCTAAAATGCAATCTTCAACTATACATGAGGGCCAAATGGTAGAGTAACTTTCCAACGATGCCAGGCATGAGCACCAAGTGCTACCTCAATAAGAAAAACTTCATAAATCCCCTACAAGGTCAATCAGAATTTGCCCTCCTATAAAGCCTGCAAATATGGAGGAGAAGAATAGAAAGCAGGCAGACTGCTGATGCCGGAGTCTCCCTAGGATAAAAAGTACGACAGAAGAAAGAATTGCCAAATGGCCCTTTCCCTATGCTTGGAAACAGTCTCAGTCTGAAAAAACGCTCTTCGGTGGGAACTGGAGTAAAGTTCAGTAAAGCACAATCGGCGTTTCCCTAACAGCTAGGGGTAAAGAGAAGCCATCTCTGCCTTTGCCGAACAGCTCCGTTCTGGGGTCTCCGCGCCTTTAGACGGGTAGACCTCAACTCCCAGAATCCCCCGGCCAGCATGCTGGGA